CAGGAGCCACAAGTGCGCGCGAGTAGAAGAGCAGAAGGAAATTGGTTTTGCCTACCGATGCCAAATCAGCAGGCATGATTCATTTGAAGATAGGATGAAGGATACTTTGGGCTCTCATATCGCAGGGACATTCTTGATTTGGGCCTCGGCGGTGAGGAATTGCTCGGAAGTGATGGTTTTTGAGGTCGAGATTCTACCAAGTGGATGCATACAGCGATTGTCCACTTATCTTCACATTTCTTCTCCGATCCACCAACTCACGAAGTGCTTTCTCTTTTGTGGCACCAGTTGATCCCTATTCTACGGCGTGAGTAGATACTCTACGATAGTGTGGCGAAGAAGCTTTAGAGAAATTTCGCTTACTGGCCGAAAGACCCAGGTGATTTTTCGGCACCCTGGTTTTGAGCTCATGATCAGAGCGATATGAGTGAGAAACGACTTTAGGTGGTAGGTGACGGAGCGTAGGGGCAAACAGCTCGGGCCTGGTGTGAGTCGGACGCCATATACTTTCGATGTCGGACAAGACGACTGCATAAAGCCGTTCTAGGGCTTGTTCGAGCACATCCCTGTTGTGGCACCAGAACAAGTCAGGGATTAGAACACTGGAAGCTGAGAAGAATCGGTGTGTGAGGCCGTTGTTGATGTCGCAATTAACTTGCCGTTCGATTGCTGAATGGTATGCAAACTCTTTGTTGATGTTCCTCATTATTATCATAATTGCATTGACATCTATATCTTCTGGCCCATGGAAAGTTTGTCTAGGCAGTGGGCAAAGGTGGGCAATTGCTTGAAGGCAAGAGGCGAATAAGGTACTTACCGCTATGCACGACATTCGCAGTGGTATTGGATTCATGTCCTGTAGTCGATTGGCACATACAGTGCGAGGGGCAGCGTCGGACCAATCAATCGCACTAAGTCCAGAGTGCACCGTGGTGATGGTTCAAAAAAGTGGTTTAAGCGCTCGCCGAGTATCGTAGGTCTCACGATCACTGGAGCCGGCCGGCTTGCCACTGCAAAGGACAAGAGTGTCATTTCAAGATTCAACTGCCACCTACCTGGAAATTTCTATATACTACACAGTGGCTCAAGCTAGCTCAAGGAGGCTCAAGCTCCAAGGCTAGCTATAAAACCTTTGCTCCCTTCTCCTGTGACATATTGAGTTCTGTAACCAAGGAATCTTGTCGGAGTCTATCGAACGGTCGGGCGACGGGAACCCCCGATACGGAAAATATATATCCAGGGCAGCCCCGGCCTGCGGTCACCGGTGCACAGCCAAAAGATGCGGTGCTGCTCTAGGTATATAATCACAGAATCCAACATTACCCTCCCCTCCTTCCCTATCCTTCCCTATCCTAGTACCGCTGGCCGGTCTTCCTTTGCTCTGCGAGTTTTGTTTCGAAACGTTCTTCTTACAACCATCTTAAAAAACATCTATCTACCTCTATCCTCCAATGACAATGTTCTTCCGCTGCTGGGGATACATTCACCTCATGCTTATTCTTCTATCTGTTCATGCTTCCCCGCTTGTCACTGTAAGTACTCGTCACATACTAGATGGCCTCGGTTACTGACTATCGCTTCTTTCCATTCGCAGAGTATCGATGATCCACCGAGGGATCTGGTTGCGCGCCAGGTGCACAATCAAGATGAGTCAGTGATTTACAACGGCAAAATGGTTTATGGTCCGTTCAAGGGCTATATCTGGTTCAACGGCAAACGGGAGCCTTCTCATGAATATGGAGTTCCGAGCAGCCAGGTTAGGGGTCGACCGGAATATCGGAGGCTTCGTGTTACGGAAAAGATATCACGAGAACTAGGTAAACACGGATTTGCCAGGATATCAATTGGGTTTCTGCAACCCTGGCCGACTCGCTTTGACGGAGGAGTTCCCTATGGTCGTTTGCAGATCTACGGGTTCAACTCAAATGACGCTGAGGTACACGCAGGACCCCCAATTGTGATCTCATTCGAATGAGGTGAGTAGCCCGGTCTACACTTGCCTAATCCGAATCAGCTCACCAGAGATTTGTAGGGTGATTCCAGTGGCTCTGTCATATCGATGCATACATATATAAAAATGAACAGTGTCTCGTTGTTTCATTCCCTGTGCTGTGCTGGGCTGATACAAAACATACCGGACATGCGTTCAAGCTGTCGTGACTCGAATGCGTCAGCCTACTGGGCATTTCGGTGTTCACATTCCTAAGTTCAAAAGAATGAAAGAAACCATTTGTCATAGGCGGTAATGTAGGATGTGTTCGCTATGACACTTACAGTAGCTTTGTATTCACCTTGAGCCTCAGAATTTTAAGCCACCTAGAAAATGACTCATCTTTCATACACCCTTGTTCACCTCAGACCTGGTGCTTGAAAAAGTCACTCTCTTCACTGCATGATCTGGTGCGATTCATGGGTTAACGCATCCCATCATCCATGCTGTCGTACGCCCTTATCAGGCTGTATCAGGTCAACATTGTGCACAGTGCACTAACGTTAACAATATTCAACGTGCATGATAGAAGAATCTCTTGGATGGACCCGTGCTGCAATGCTGCAGTTGTCTTTCTCCGCAACTCCATCAGTATCTTTCCAAATCTGTCGAGACTCATCGAATGCGATATGATTAGGATCGACTCGGAGAGTGTAAGAGGGTACAGTGGTTTTCACGGGAGTAATTCAAAAGAGAAAAATACCTCTCGCCGCTCAGGTGGTACAGAATGGAAACACTACACAGCCCACAGTTGAGAGGGTTAGTAGGCTATGTCAGCTCAGAATCCAACGTTTCCTCCTCTTTTTCCCCCATCATAGTACTGCTGGCCAGTCCTCCATCTGCTTTGCAAGCATCCTTTTGTATCCTCGCTCTAATCTGAAACAACAATGTTTTTCCGAATCGGATTGACCTTCTTTCTGCTCAGCGATTTTCTCGCCGCTATTGTGTGTGCCGCACCGATTGTCATCGTACGTCCCCCCTTCTTCGCCTCACTGGGTGATGGACTTTGCTGATGGTTGAGCTCTCCAATGCGCAGACTCGTCGGAGTACTGGTGATCCTCCATCGAACGCTTCGGTTGCGAGTAATGGCTCAGATTCCCGATCGTCGTCCGATCCGAACCCAATACCGGACGACGGTTACACCGTCACGGACGAAAACGGCATGGTTCTCTGGAGTCCTGTTGTGTGTTATGTCTGGTTCGAAGGCGAGGAACCTTCACACTCGAACGACTTTCCGCGCTCCCAGATCTATGAACAGCGATTATACCACATTCTCCAAGTCGAGGACAGATTAACAGCATCACTGGTACAACATAATCTGGACTCTCCTTGGCCAGTCTTCAAGGCTTTGCAGCCATGGCCGGATCAGGTTACCACGAGGATCCGACACTGTCATTATCGGCTGTATCGTCGTAATCAAGATGGCATTGAGATACCTCAGAGTCACCATGTTGCGATCGCGTTCGATGAGTCGGCTATGTAGTACATTGGAAGAGACGCACGATTGAAGTCTTCGAAAGTGCTTGTGCATCATGATTGTGAGCACACTGCTTTGCCTTCGTTTGCTATCTCGACTCACCAAAAATGATGTAGGACTTACCTTGACTCTGCCACGAAATTGATGTATAATGATGAATATTCCATCGCTTCATTCCCTGCGTTTGACTGATACTGATATACAAATAACACTGGGACGTGCATTGTCCATCGTATGACGTTTCGTGATTTGAGGTCTTGGGAGAGGATTCCGGATGAAGTGCAAGAGAGACAAGGGAGATGGCGAATCTTGATTGAGCAGGACTCAGATAGCGCTGTAGGAGCGAGTCGACCACGTTAATCATGTCATGATCAGTGTAGGGGACATCATTGGACTGAACAGCTTTCATTCATATTGGTACATACATTGTGACTGCCTGCCTTTCCTTTTGTTTACGGCCCATCTATCGGACTCACCAAGGGAACTCTCCATTGTCGCCCCAGAAAAGCCCTAATTGACCAAAGTGTATCAGTATCTCATCTCATACTCTTGAAGCGAAAGAAACCTCGTAGTACTTACCTGTCTTATTCTTATCCTCCGGTCCCAGAAGCGCCCACTCCGCAAGCAACTCCGCCGCCTGTTCCGTCGTCTTCCCCCTGGAGCATACCCATTCAATTTGGTCGTCGTAAATCCCGGAGTGACCGCGTTGACTTTGAACCCTTCCGGTTTGAGCTCATGAGCTAGAGCGATGACGTAGGAATTCGCCGCGGCCTTGGACGTGTTATACGCGACGACGTGTAGACTGGAATCGGGTCGGGCCTGGTACGAGTTGGAGGCCATGCTCGTGCTGTTGAGTAGGATGACTGGGTCTGAGCCTTTACGGAGGAGTGGGAGGAAGGTTTGAGTGGTTTGGATCATTCCGAAGAAGTTTGGCTCGAAGGTGGCACGGATGACGGAGATGTCGATTGTGGATGCGTTTTGAGGTTTATCCATGTAGCTCATGCCTATCGTATCAGGGAGCTGAAGAAAACGTCTGAATGGTGATGGAGAGATATACGTGCCTGCATTGTTCACCAGAACATCCAACTTGCCCTCTGCTTTCTCGATGATATCTCTAGCAGCTTGAACAGATTGGATATCCGTGACATCAAGCTGTACGAATTTCACGTCCAAGCCGTGTTCTTGTTTGAGTTTCGCCCTATGAGTCGCGATTAGATTGGGTTCGACATATCGAGTCTGGAGGATAAAACACCAACTGAGCTTCTTTACCAGATGCCGCATTTCTGGATGCAAGATATACGAGGTGTCCCTTTGAGGCAAGATTCTTGACGAGATCAAGACCTATACCACTGTTGGAGCCAGTGACGAGGATGGTGCGCTTTGTGGTTGTCGACATTGCGTTGGGTGATGGTGAATAAGTCAAGTAGACGCCCCTGTAACACCGACTTCCGTGAGAACGATTTGATCGGTAACGTCGGCAATATCTTCCGAATTCACGACGTCATTCTTGAAACAACCGGCAATGCGTAGCATGCTGGAATGGCCGAGTCGTTAAGGCGATAGATTTGAATGCGTTAAAATTTTCAATGTTCATCATCTATTACTCTCTGAGTGCGTAGGTTCAAATCCTGCTTCCAGCGTTTTTGTTTTTTTGCTCAACCCCTCTAGTTCTCAAGCCTCTGTATTACCTTCCCCATCTGCCAGTCATCAGCAAGCGACGACTCTCTATCTTCCTTCCAGATTCATCGTGAAGACCCTCTCTTTTACACATTTTCTCCCTTTTACTCACCGAATGCACTTATTCTCAGCATTATACTTACTGCCACTTATGTTAAAATCGATCCAAAACCATTCCACGTGCATCGACAGCCGAGTCGTTCAAGAGTGCTTGGTCGACGACTTCTGACCATGAACGCCTATATTCAGAGCACGGTCCGGCCCTTTAGAATCCACATCCACTGACGTTGTCGAAGCAAGTTGCGGGTCCTCCGTATTCAACTTCTCGTCTCATGATCCCAGCAGCGGACTGAGCCTGAGGAAGCACTCCCTGACCTTCTGACTTCTTTGTTCTTTCATGGTCCGATATTCTTTATAAAAACCCAACACCTATGGGCATTGCTTCCCTAGCCGTGTGGTCTCGTGTGGCCAAATGTTCGCTCTCAAACCACCTCTTGTCAGCCTGAGCTCCCTCCTCCTTTGGCTCGTCCACCAAACCCAAGCCTCCGCGCTTCCAGCCACCAACCCCTTCACAAAGAACGGGGACATCGTCGACCTAGGATACGCCAAGTATCAGGGAAACCGCTCGTTTCAAGACACGGTCGCCTTTCTCGGTCTTCCTTATGCAGAACCCCCTCTTGGAGATCGACGGTTTCGAGCACCGTTGGCGTTGAATGCCACTCGTATCACGCAAGAGGCCGCAGGTCAGACCGTTGAAGCTACACAGTATCCGGACTTTTGTGTACAGGGAAGCACGGGAGGTATGTAATCGTTTGAAAGTTTGTTCAATGAGGAATGCCAAGCTTATGGGTTCTATGTATGTACTATGTAGCAAACGATGCTGGAGGTGCTGGAACTGAAGATTGTCTGAAAGTGAATGTATATGCACCGTTTGATGCAAAGCCTGGTGACAATCGTGAGGTTCACTTCATCTCATAATCAGTCTCATTAAGTTGAATGACTTTCTTTTCTCCAGTTCCTGTTCTTGTATATTTCCATGGAGGAGGTAAGACCGTTTCTTTCTGTACCTTCTTCACTTCAAGTTGATACTACAAAACTAACAAACCTCCCCAGGATTCGTCTACGGAAACCCCGCAAACTGGCCTTTCGACAGCTGGATCCACCAAAGCCCCAACATCGTCGTCGCTTCCGTGTACTACAGACTCGACTCCTTCGGCTTCCTCAACATCCCCGAGTTCTCTGATCCCACCAATGGCGACTTCAACGCTGGCTTCCTCGACCAGACTGAATCCCTGCGATGGATCCGCGGACACATCTCTGCTTTCGGAGGTGACCCGGGAAAGGTGACGATCAATGGACAGAGCGCTGGTGGGGCTTCGGTCGAGCTTCATCTTGTTGCGGATCAAGAACAGCTGTTCTCCGGAGCGATTGCTCAAAGCGTGGGGAGGAGTCCTATCGAGAAGCCGGAAAATCAAGTTGTAAGTTATGATCATCATGTTCAATGAGGGTTTGATTTGAGTTTTGTTGATTTGAACTGTGTCCCTTCATGTCATGATCAGCCTGTGTTTGACTTTTATGCTGAAGAAGCAGGATGCGGTGGGGGTACGGTCACAGATAAACTCGCGTGTCTTCGACAAGCCAGTATTAGTGCTTTAGCGAGAGCGCAGGATGCTCCCCGTATCCAACCTTCGTCTTTGTGAGACTGTTTTCTGCTTGTCGCCAGAAATATAGCTTATCCTCAACTCATTAAAATACAGTTCCGGAGCCTATCCTACTTTCAATCCCGTCGTCGATGGCAAGATCATAGCCGACTACCCGTCTGTGTCGATTCAGAATGGGAAATTTGCTCAAGTGCCGTTGATCGTAGGGTATGCGTTTTGTTTTGCTTTGTTCATCATTTGGGATTTAGCTTCTCTATCAATGTCATTACTGATTCGGCTTCTATACTATCATAGTGCTACCTCAAACGAAACGGGCACCCTTGAGCCTACTCTTCCGGAAACAATGAAAACAGCGTTCCCTGGGCTGACACTGGAAAGCGCGAACGAATTCCTCGAGGTTTGGATTTTGCAAAAAGCTGTTGATTACGAGAGTTGTGTTCCGCTAATACCACGTCTACGTCTACATAGGTATACCCCATAAGTGAATTTTCATCTCAACTTCAACGAAACCAAACGGCGATAGGAGAATCGATGTTGAGATGTGCAGTACGTAGCCTCTGGTTCCGAGTCTATCCTTCCTCAGAACCAAATCATTATTCATCACATCGAACAGCGCGAGATCATGGGCGGAGCGTTTGCTAACGCACCCAAATCATTCACCTATCGATACAACCAACCCAACCCCACCCTCAACATGCCCGGTTTCACCGCGCACGCTGCAGAAAACTGGATGATGTTCAACGGGATCAACACAGGCTTCAACGGATCCGGGACGTTCACGCCTCTGACTCCCGTCGAATCTGCTTTCGCGGAAGAGCTCATTGCGTATTGGATCTCTTTTGTGCGCGCGGGTGACCCGAATGTGTTCAAGTTGGATAGGTCGCCTGTTTGGGCGGAGTATTTCGTACTAGAGGGCAAGGGCGAGAAGGAGAAGTTGAAGCAACGAATCGTGTTGCAACAAGACCCGAGGAACCTGACGGATGTGAGTGGGAGTTTTGTTGAGACGGAGTTTGAGGATGAGAGTAGGAGATGTGAGTTTGTGGCGAGTAAGGCAGGGGAAGAGCAGAATTGATCTTGTATGTTGAACTACAGGATTTCGATACATCATTCGAGCGAGGATCCGTTCTGACATTTGCACTGCCCTAGTATAAACTTAGTTCACAGCGTGAATGCTGAATAAGGATTCAGGAGGGGTTTGTGGGCAAATCTCACTTACAATGAAGATATGTGTAAGATTGTAATGCGTTATATTGGCAAAGATCAGGCAAGTACAGTAATCCACTCGGGAAGTGATCCATGTTACGGCGAGGCGAAAAAAACTCTGCCGCTGTGGGTTATATACAAGACCAATTCTCTGATACGGTCATTTAAATCGAATTCCAGGCGAGAACGAGAATGAAGCACCGAGACCAGGAGGATTCGGAGAAGGAGCAGCCGGCGTAGCAGGTGAAGCACTTGTCGCAAACAGGCTAGAAGTAGACGGTGATGATGAAAAGGGTGGGATGGCGATGCTGGGTCCTGAAGCTGAAGAGCCAATTCCCATGAGTTCTTTTGAAGTCACGTCGCGGCCGTTGGCTTTCATCGAAGCAAGACGGAGTTCCTGTACAAGGATCAAAATGCTCGTTGGGTGGTACCTTTGGCGATTGGGAGAGATACATACCTCAAAACTGTGCAAAGCGAACTCCGGTTTGCTGCTGATACTAAGGAATGTTTCGGTTGTATCACCACCCCATTGGATTCCGTTAGAGTGTAATGTTGAAGATGTCGATGAACTCAGTATGTGCGGGGGCGGAGCTACTACCCGTCCGGCGAGATAAGCACGACACCGCAGCTCCTGGAGAGTGAGGTTCGTCAACAGAAGAATCAAATCTCAAGTCAGATCTACAGCCATACCTCGAAACTATATGCGGCGTATTGATCAGCAGCGGTTATACTTTGTAATCGATCCGTCGAAGAAGTTCCCGGACCCAAAGGAGGCTTGGTCACTGCGAACACCTGCCACTCCGGTAAAGCTTCATTGACATTGGCCTCTGTGACTTCAGAAGACGAACTTGGGAGAAGTGTTGGTTTGAATAACGGAGGAAGACCTCGAGTGACACGTTCGTGAGCGAGGACCGGTTCTTGTGGACATGGTAATGGTGGCTTGCCAGTGGTTCGGTAGGCAAGCAAGTAGTCATCGATACGGACTTCCTGTAGGGGCGAAGAATTATTGGGAAGTTGATGAGACGTCGTTGCTCCTTACAGCGAACAAATTGAAGCATAAGACGACGACGAACAGGAAGATACATTACTTCGTAGGATTTTTGTGAAGGACCCGCTTCAAGTGCAGCGGGTATCGACATGAACTGTAGCATGTCGCCCGAGGCAGAAGTACTCGGAACTTGAAGGATGAGTGGCATGTTGGAGATGGTGGTGGTCTCGGAGGAGAAGGTATAGTCACGTGCTGATGACGCAATACCTATGAGCGTTTATTTCAACGCGGTCGGACCTGGTCGGACTTGCTTTCTTTTTTAACCACTACAATGGCGACCGTAGTCCACAGAGCCTCTTCAGCTCTACACGACCACCCTTCTACTTCGCTAGTCCCACAAAGGCGTCCTAGAGAGCCTAGCATCGAGATCATAGATGTTGACGAGCTCGATGAGACAGAATACATGCCTAGACCGGGAGCTGGTCCAAGCGCCAGCTCTCAAGGTCCTCCTTCACAAAGAAGAAGACTTTCACCAGATGAAGTTATCATTCTCGACAGCGACGATGAAGAATATGACCCTTCGGCATTCGCCACCAATTCTGGAGCAAGTCAATCTAGCTCTTCTCAAGGCAGGTCTCCTTTTCGCTCCTTTTGCTAGAATCAAAGAAAGAGAAAAAGACGAATCTAATCTCCTTTCGATGCTCTCTCTAGTAAACTCTCGAGATATTTCCCCTCCTGCCTGGAACGGCCGACCAACAACCTACACTTTCCCACGTCCCGAAGACCCATCCATAATTCCAATGCGAAGAAATCTCCCTTCGTTTCCTTCCACCTCTGCTCCAGTAATAGCAGATCCAACGGTCTCAGACTACGAAAGGTTTCTGCAGAATAACATCTTACCTGCCACTCATGCGAGTGGCTCTCGAACACGACGTGCAGCCGCGTTGAGTGCTGCAGACGGATTGCCTGCCCCTTCATCATCATCTCATCCTCTACCCGACTCCAGAACCTCCAATCGAGCACCCATAAGAGCAGGTGGTGGGCTAATTACCTCTTCTCGTGCTCACGCTGCCGAACGTCGCGTTGAACGCGAACGACTGGCCCAACTTCG